TAACCAATATATTACTGGCCGCGTTGCTGCGAAAGATCATGTGAAATAAAATTCGATAATTATTGAAGATAGCAACCTAATTTAATTCTCTGATTAACTAACAGACGATTAGTTTGCGACGGTGCAACGCATTTTTTTTTAAACACCGGTTAAGATATAATCAGTGTTCAGCTAATCAGTGTTTAAAGCGAGAATGGTGCAACCGGGGGTAAGCATATGAAGGAGAAACCGGAAATGGATTTTGCATTTCATACTTCTTCCTCTGATATTCTTGTGGTAGTGGATGGAAAAAAGTAAAATCAAATTTAATCACTTTCCTTGCTTGAATGATTGAGTTAGCTGGGGCCAGGTCGAACAAAGAAACGTAATTACCGAAGACCCCAGCGCGTTTCCTCCACACATAACCCGGCAAAACCAATGCCATTTCTATTGTTTGATGTTGAATTTTTCAGTTTTTCAATTAGCAGGATTCCTGCGTCCGCTGCCAATCGCTTTCGGCCTCAGAACGTCAAACTAACGAATAACAAATTGGATTTCCGGACGGGCAACTGCATTTATCTCTTATCGGCAATAAAAAATGCCCCCGATTTTTTCCTGTACGCCCAATTTGCCCGCTCCATCTCGGTAATGTGATATAAAAATAGGCGGACTTTAATGGCAACATTTAAATCATTAAATCGTCCGGGTGCAAGGGATGATTTTGCGATCAAGACAAGCAGTTTCTGCTTGTTTTCCTGCTTCAGTTTCAACTTTTCCTTTATCCATTACATTAACATTTGGCCATTATTATACGTGGTCAACCAATCGCATACGGACGTTTATTTTCCGTCCTGATAATAACCGATGATTAACTAATGGAATGGAAAATGGCCAAATGTACCTCCTCATATGTAACTTGGCGATGGGCAATGCGATAGAAAACACGCATGCAACAAAGTTATGAAAATAAGGGACGATTGAAGCGCTTATTACTTTCACACCATGGTCGTGCCCTTATCGAATCGATCCACTATGGAAATGGGGACAGCAGCATGTTTTGCCCGGTTAAAATCAACAATACTAGAAATAGTGACCAAAACTAATAGCTTCTGTGAATTTCAAATTTGCGCTCGATAATTCACCAACAGCACTCTATAAAGCAACCTGATTATCGCGATTTAATAAAATTAGTGCATCGAAAACACATTGCTTAGTTTCGTCAATCGAATCACATGCACAATTCCTCTGTGAATCCTAAACTGATTATCCATATTTAGAGGCTTAAATGGTAGCGAGCTCTCCCGGTTAGATTTGAGCTGATTTTCAGCAATTTGGCGTCCAATTTACAATCGAGCAATTAATTCAATAGAACTGGATAAACAATAAATTTAATCACTTCCTTAATGACCCTATTCACTCATAGATACTCAGCAATTTCACCGATAAATTCCTTGTTAGGAGACCGGCCCTGGCCAGTGTAAATTTACTTTTGGTTTTGTTGCAACAACTAATTTCAATTATCTGCGCTAATCTGTTGGCTTGGCCTGGGCTTAACAGGGCGAACACTTTTCCCCTAAACTTATTAAAACTGTTGATTGTCTCTTCAAAATGATAATTTCCCGCAAGAGATTCATAAAGTTTTACTTTTCTGCGTTCAAATTGACGAAAATTCAAATTAGAAAACACTAAACAGGGGTATTTTGCCAAAAGTGTGATAAGAAGTTGAACAAAGAGTAGAAGAAGGAACAGTTGTCGAATAAGTAGCAAGAATGCAGCAATCATCAATTGCTCAGCTGAATGAAAAAATCTTGTCAGAATATTACACGTTATACCATCAAAAATAACATTTTATTCGCTCCAAACGTTGTGGGATTTGTAATAATGCGTTTGTTTTTCTGAAAATTATTGCAGAAAAGTAAACACTCTCAATAAGTTCAACTTACGATTTGAGGCACAAGTTCTGCTGTGTCCATGTAATCCACTGCGGGCTAAATATCTTCTACACTCCCTAAATATATGTCTGAGTTAAGCCAGAAAATATCCCGAATTTCCGCATAACAAAGTTAGCGTGCAATTTAGAGAATATCGAATTATTGCAGGCGTAAAGGCACATTCCCGAGATCAAATCCTTTCGGCCGCAACCCCCCAACTTTCCGATGTGAAACATGAACCAGATTCCGGGAAGATTTACTAAAATTCTATTTACTCTCTTCTACAAGTTTCCGTATTAATTTCGCCTTCAATGTAGACGAAACAAGTATATCCATCCAAGTCAAAAACACGGT